CGCTTTAAAATAATTTTGTTTGACACCGGCCTTTTACTGACTGCCCTGATGTTTTACAATTATTTTCTAATGACCGCAGATGCCTACGTGATACATAAACGTAGTCCGTTATAATTTATAAACAACTTGTTTAGTACTTATTTCGTATGTACATATGCACGTGTGTGCATACGAATATGTGTAAAGCAAGAATAATCTATTTACAAATATATGTAAATCAGTATGTGACAATTGGTAAATATCATAAATTTAAAAAAAAAATCTAAGTGATTATTAAATATCATGAGGATATCGGCGACAACAGTCTGAGTTTTTATATAGCTCCCAAAGGTCCCGCCCGATTTAAGGAAATTGGAATCCTTTATAATCTGGTGGAAAAAATATTTTCTTTTTAGTTTCTGTTATTAAATTAAAAAATATTAAAAATTATATTCGATTTTTGAGATTTAACATTTAAAATAATAGTTTAAAGAAATTTCCTTTGGATATTTCTGATCTCAGCACTTTCTTAATGTGTGATATATATATATATATAGAAGAAGACTATTTTAAAACAAAATAGTAAAGGAAAACCTGTGTGTTTTGCAATTCGCAAATTTCATTACGCGAACAACTTGCAATAAAATGTTCTTTTTTAATAAAGGGCAATTGATATGACAACAAGCCTTAAATAAAATTTTAAAATTGATCCTACTTTTATTCGAAATTATTAATAATAAAAATCGCTTTAATAATAACAGCAATGACATATTGTTTCAATAATTATGTTTTTTTTATATATTTGTTGTTATATACAATTTTATCTCCTAATAAATAATGTCCGAAAAATTTTAATTTTCCTCAATAAAAATATTTTTATTTTGCTTAACCGCCACCATTACAAACTAGCTAAACATTCATATCCTACTACATCTACAATAAATTCTATTTCATTAATGTTCTCCTTTATAATTATATCCATTACAATAAATGCCACAATTCAAACAAGTAGCATTTCTAGTCAAAACTCATTTACATTTCATCTCCTTCATTTAAACACAACTCCCCATTAATCACTTCCACATACGTCAAACGCTAAGATGCACCTGTACAGATGTGATCAATGAGAACAATGATAAAAGTCAAATAATAACGTAACTCTTTACTCTCAATTGTCTCTCCTAACTGACAGAAATTTTGCGACTTAGTTTTTTAGTTCTTTCGTCGTGTTAAAACTGTTCGGTTGTGTCGTGTCTCCGTCGTAATATTGTAAATAAATTAAGAAAAAATATAAATAAAGTGTTTAAATGTCAAAGAAAAATATATTCTGTGTGTGTCTATCATAAAATTCATAAACAAAAATAAGTAAAAAGGCAATAAAATCTTTTTATTAAATTGCTCTGTACACAAAATGCAGCAGCAAGCGCAAGTGTGTATGTGTGTATCAAATCAAGTGCGTTCCTTTTGTTTTTGCAAAGCTCTCCTCTAAAAAAGGCGCAAATATATCAATTGTGTATATGTATGTGTTGCATTTTTTGGTTGCTATGCTTTCTTGTATCAAGAGCGTGTTCGGTTGAAAAAAATGTTTAACAGAAAAGCTTTATAATTCAAGCTTCTTAAAAAAATATCCGTTTCTGAATTCGCGATGTTATTGTTGTGGTATTTGCAAAAGCTCTTTGCAAATACCACATAAATTATTCTGTTAAATTTCTTTTATTTCCTTCGTTCAAAAAAATGTGCCATGTTACCGCGATTCTGTTAAGAAGCTCTATGTTAAGTTCAAAATAATCTCATTTCCGTTGTTTGTGATTTTTTTTTTTTGGTTGTGTTCACTAACACATTCGTGTGTATGCGTGTGTGCTTATTAGAATGTTTATGATGGGGATTAAAGAAAAAAAATCGCGCTCAGTAAAATGGCAAAAGAAGAAGAATTATTTTATTTTGATTTGAGAGTTGAAGTCTACAGTGCAACAGGGAGAGTCTAAATAAACGATTTTTAATAAACAAGGGAGAGATTTATTTTTCTAAATGTACATTTTTTAATGTCAAATACATATTGTGTAATAAAATCACTATAAAATCAAAAGGAATCAATGGAATAATTTATTTTTTCTAAGAGTACTGTTGATATTTTAGGTATTATTTTAAAATTACAATTTTAGTGGACAGTTGTAAAAATGTTCAAAATATTTATAGAGACTAAAAAAAAGTTTCCATAAATTTCCCTTCACCACTTTTGCCTACAAACTGACAACTGCCGCAATTAAAATTGCCTAGATATGTAATTATGGTGAAACGGAATTAAAAAATATTCACAGGGAAGTGATTTACTGTCAAAGTAAACCTTTCAATTTTAGGAAAAATTAATTTAAAGTTTATATTTCCGCACAAAGAACACAGCGGGTCCTTACTTTGGATATTTCGATCGAATCCATGGTATAATTACAGAAGGTAATCTCATTTAAGAAATTAACAATGGCAACCCTTTTTAATTTGGAAAATAAATTCCATAAAATTTTACTCATGTCGAATGGCATATTCTCAAAAAATCTCAATTTTTATAACCTCCACCATAGCATGAAGGGTATATTAATTTTGTCATTCCGTTTGTAACTCGTCGAAATATTCATTTCCGACCCTATACATTATATACATATATTCTTGATCAGAGTAAAATTCTAAGACGATATGTCCGACATGTCCGTACGTCTGTTGTAATCACGCTATCTTCTGAAAATTTGCATATCTTTGTCTTTTGTCTGCAGGCAGGTCAAGTTCGAAGATGGGATTAATCGTTCCACGTTTAGGCATAGCTCCCGTATACCCAAATTTTCGGTATTTTGGGGTTCTAGAGCGCGTTTTCCAACCGCTGAAATTTGGTACATTTGGTTCCTATTGGGTACTAAATGTCTCCACAAAAAATTATGAATATAGGTCCACTTTTTCTGGTAGCCCCCATATAACGGTACCTCCTAATTTTCAGGATTTTTGGAGTTCTTCTTTTTCCACCGAAATGGCTGAAATTTAGTATTTTGAGTTCTTAATAGGTACCAAATCTCTCCACAAAATGTTATGAGTATAGGTCCATTTTTTCGGATAGCCTCCAATTTTCGGTATTTTTGGGTTCTTGAGCGCGTTTTTCTACCGAATTCGCTGCTATTTGGTATTTTGTAGTCGTATATGGTAAAAAATCTCCCCACCAAAAATTATTTTGGGGTAGTCCCCAAATAACCCCCTTTTTTATATTAAAATAGTTGTCTAATTTGTTCCGCGTTTTGGTTTTGGTTCCAAGAGTCTGTCGTAATCATTTCACCTGCGGAGGATATGGAGATAAAAAGCTAGAACTATGTATGAACTATAACCCGCATTTAGCCCTAGCCCCTGTGTGGAAGGTACAAGAAGGAGTGGACCGATATTCCCCATCTTTGAACTTGAACTAAGTTAGGATGAAATCACATTTTCTGAAACGGATTTGTTCCAAAGAAACATAGAGTCTAGAACCAATATTTCGATGAGCCATAAGGCTGAGGGTATATTTATCCATTAAAAATTTCTGAAATTAGTATTATGGTTTACATAATGGGTGTGTAGAAATGTCGGTGAAAGTCCACTTTTTGGTATTTCCCCCATATTTGCATTTCAAGTACCTGTCAGTATATCTAAGGTGGAGGGAGGGTATCTACAGTTAGGCCCGGCCGAACGTAACGCTTTTTCACTTGTTGTACTTTTCATGTAGTTTTAGTATTATCTGACACCTGCGGACTAAGAGAGACTTTTACCCTAAATATCAAGCTCACTCCTTTCCTTCACAATGTATACAATTGTACCCCGCTTTGTATGAACATTTCTAAAATAACAACAATTAATAAAAAATAAAATTTCAAAAAAAAAAAGGAATTCAGGATTTCATCCAAAGATGATATTCTAATATTTTAACCTTGCATAAATGAAGACCACATACGGACTATATAGACTCAAATATATTTGTAAATTCCCTTCAAGAATCCCCTTTTGAAAAATCAGTCATCCAAAAATTAATTTACAACAAAAAAGGTAATTTTGATTTAATTATTGCACAAGCTAACATTTATACCCAATTTGAAGCAAATATGGACTGTATCGGTCCACTCCTTCTAATACATCCCCAAAATGGGTAAGAAAATCATTAAAATTTATTAAAATCATCCCCACGCCTTATGTTCCTTATGTTGGCCATACAACCAAGTACAATGAGTGCAATATATGTAACGCCTAAAAGTATGCTACACAAGTTGTTCACTTTTCCCTCTCTCTCATGAATGACCATTCACAATGGTACTCTAATGATCATTTGTGTGCTATGAAATAAATTAAGAGGTTTAGTTGATTTTTTTCAAATTTTCCGATTAAAATCCGGCTTATATCGATCGGCATGAACTATTTTGCAAAGTAGCTATATAAATATATATTTTTTTATAATTGAAATTAGCATTAGTAGTGCGAGGGCATTAAAATTCTCGGCAGTTATTTGGATGCCGGTCTAGTCGTTGTCTCTAGACAAAAAATGCGATTAACCAGTCATTCCCAGGTGGCGTGGAAGGCATTAAAATTCTGGTAAAACACTTCAAACGCTAATTTAGAGCAGAATTGTTTAAAAGTGAGCATTGCTTGTGACAACAACAATGGCAGCAACAACGACAAGAAGACATACAATATGGAGGGAATACAAATATTTGCGTGACGTTTTTTAGCAAAAAATTGAAAAAATAAAAAAACTTCTCATTGAGAAAACCAATAGAGCGCTTAGAAATACAGGCAAGCGTTTGGGAGAGCGTAACGTAATTTTTGTTTGTCAGCCAGGTAGAAAAAAAAGCGTTAACGAAATTCCAATTTATTGGCAAGAAGAAGAAAATCATAAAAAATAAAATAGAAAGAATGGGGAGCAAAAAATTTGTTGTAGCCAAAAAATAAAGTACAAACAAAACAACTGGACAACGGCAAAAATTTCAACAAAAACAAATTCAAAGCATTCCCAGACTTACCGCGGTGGAGGAATGCTGAGAGTTGGAGGAGAGGGTTTTTTTTCAACGTTTCGATTTTAAAGAGGGGAGTTCAGGTTTTATTTTCGGGCAAAATTCATAGGAGATTTTAACAAGAACAACAACAAGAAGTGTTTTTGTTGGAGGTATAGATTTTTTTGTAGGTTGGAGATTTTTTTTTTCAGTCAAAAATCGGGGTATGCATAAATCCAATTTTTGTTGTTGTTGTTATTTTCAAAATACAAATTTAAGAACAGCAGCCCAAAAATTGTTTTTTTTTCAAATTTGTTTGTTGAGTATAGGAATTTAGATTGGATGGATTTGGATACATACAAACGGAGTAGATTGAGTAGTTGGTTGATTGGTTGTTGGGTAAATTTGTTGTTGGTGAGAAATAATACACAAGAAACAAAAACAATTTGAGTATGTTGTTGAATATTGAATTTTTAAAAAATAAAACGTAAATAGTACAGAAAGAGAGAAAGAAAGAATTAAAAAACATAAAAAAATTAGAAATCCATTTTGAAATTAGACAAAAATATAGAAGAAAACAGGAATGAAAAAACACATGGAACGAAAAAATATGGTGAACACAAGGAATGGGGTTTCTTGTTTAAAATTTATATCTACATGATTTGCAAAGGGTCCAGAAATCCCTTTTTTGATATTTTTTTTTTCTCTGACTCACCTATTTGGATTAGTCTTGGGTCTCAATGGTGCACCCTGCTTCAACTTGGCATTGGGATATTGTGACAAATATGTCATCATCGATTGTTCATCAACATTGGGATTAACCAATTCTTCGGGTTTGATCAGTTGGCGGACATTCAACCAATCATCAGCCAGACCCATAGCTTCGGAGGCATTTTGTACGGCATCCTTGGGATCCCACATTTCCCAATCGGGACACAGACCAGGGGCACAGGCATCAACCAAAGCACCAACAGCCTTACCGCTGGTCCAATCATTGGTGAAGTTCTTAATTGGCAGATCGGGTATTTTGCCATGGATCCAATTGAGCAATCTGGAGGGAAAAGAGGGGAAGAAAAGAGAAAATTATTAATATAAGACAATTTTTTTAAAAATATTTTTTGAAGGCTTGGATTTTTAAAAAAAATATTTTTTGAAGGCGTGGATTTTTGTAAAAAATATTTTTTGATGGAGCGGATTTTTTAAAAACTATTTTTTGAAGGCGTTGGTTTTTTTTTTTAAAAACATTTTCTGAAGGCTTTGATTTTTTAAAAAAAATCTTTGAAGGCGTGGATTATTTAAAAAAAAAATTTCAAGGCGTGGATTTTTTAAAAAAATATTTTTTCAAGGCGTGAATTTTTTAAAGAAATATTTTTGAAGGCGGGAATTTTTTAAAGAAATATTTTTGAAGGCGTGAATTTTATAAAAAAAAATTGAAGACGTGGATTTAAAAAAAAATAAAAATATTTTTTAAAAATGTATTTTTAAAAAAAAATATTTTTGAAGACGTGGATTTTTTAACAAATATTTTTTGTAGGTGTGGATTTTTAAAGAAATATTTTTTCAAGGAGTGGATTTTTTAAAAACATATTTTTTCAAGGCGTGGATTTTTTAAAAAAATATTTTTTTCAAGGCGTGGATTTTTAAAAAAATATTTTTTTCAAGGCGTGGATTTTTAAAAAAATATTTTTTCAAGGCGTGGATTTTTTAAAAAAATATTATTTCAAGGCGTGGATTTTTTAAAAAAATATTTTTTCAAGGCGTGGATTTTTTAAAAAAATATTTTTTCAAAGCGTGGATTTTTAAAAAAATATATTTTTTTCAAGGCGTGGATTTTTAAAAAAATATTTTTTCAAAGCCTATTAAAAAAATATTTTTTCAAGGCGTGGATTTAAAAAAAACATATTTTTTCAAGGCGTGGATTTTTTAAAAAAATATTTTTTCAAGGCGTGGATTTTTTTAAAAAAAATATTTTTTCAAGGCGTGGATTTTAAAAAAAATATTTTTTGAAGGCATGGATTTTAAAAAAATATATTTTTTGTAGGCGTGGATTTAAAAAAAATATATTTTTTGTAGGCGTGGATTTAAAAAAAATATATTTTTTGTAGGCGTGGATTTAAAAAAAAAAATATTTTTTGTAGGCGTGGATTTAAAAAAAAATATTTTTTGTAGGCGTGGATTTAAAAAAAAAATTTTGTAGGCGTGGATTTAAAAAACAAAATTTTTGAAGGCGTGGATTTAAAAAAAAAAATATATTTTTTGTAGGCTAAATCCAAAAAAATATATTTTTTGAAGGCGTGGATTTTGTAAAAAATATTTTTTGAAAGCGTGGATTTTTTTAAAAAAATGTTTTTTGAGGGCGTGGATTTTTTAAAAAAAATTTTTAAAGGCGTGGATTTTTTAAAAAAATTGTTTAAAGGCGTGGATTTATTAAAAACATTT